TATAATTATGATATTGAATACAGAGAATGAAAATCCCATGGAAATGCCAATGGACTGAGCTGAAGACCCTACAAAAATGACTGTAGACATTGCTGCAAAAGAGAGAGGTTGAACTAATCAGATGTCATCAAGCTGAACTCAAAGTGACTGAAGGAGTTGATGATGGTGAAGTGGAACTAGGTATAGATATTAAAGCAGAGCAGGAGAAAGACCAAGATTTGAAGTCAAGAATTGATTTCCTAAAAGCAAGTGTTTTGCGCCCTGCTTGAGAGAAGGTGTATAGTTTAAGCCCTGTGACAAAGAACTATTGGGTACAGTGGGACCAGTTGAAGCGTGAAGATGGTATTCTTGTCCGGAGATGGGAAACTGCAGATGGGAAAGTGACGACCTGGGACAGGAATTGGCAAAGTTTTGTAATAGCTGCCAAGATGACTGGGATGTCTTACTCCCTCCACTGTTGATGGCCTATAGAACAGCAGAGCATGAAACCACTGTATACACTCCAGCAAAGTTGATGTTTGGTCGGAAACTTCGGTTGCCAGTGGATCTATTAACAGGATGCCCACCTTATGAAGAGTTGCCTGAAAATGTGTCAGAGTTTGTGAAAGTGTTATCGGAAAGGATGGATGATATTTACCATCGAGTGTGTTCAAACTTGAAAACGTCCGCTGATTCCATGAAGCTATGTTATGATAAGAGATCTACTGAAGTCAGTTTTGTACCAGGTGACAAGGTGTGGTTGTATAATCCCAGGAAGACGAAAGGGAAGTCTCCTATGTTGTCTTCTTCACGGGATGGCCAATATGACATAGTGAATCGTCTCTCAGACGTGACTTTCCGAATAAAATGTGGTCGGTGAGGTAAGCCAAAGGTGGTGCATGCCAACAGGCTTTGGCGTTATCATGGTCCAGGACATTTCAGTTGGAACGAAGCGAACAATGAAACAAATGATGCCGCTGAAGATGTGTCACTTGAAAAAGCCACTGTCGAAGAAGAAACTCTATCCTGTTTTGAGAAGGGAAACAGTGAAGCCCTTGATGAAGTTACTACCACTGATGTGACTGTTACCGATAATAGGACATTTCCTGATGGAGCAGATGAACCCCACGTGAAGCAGAAGCCAACGAGATGGAGACCAGTACGGAAGAAGATACGTCCCGTAAAATTAAGACACTTTGTTGAATTCTAATTTTGTGTTTGTAAATTCTGTATATTTAATTAAGTTATTGTTAATTATCTATTGGTTTAATGTAAGTGGTTATTGTTCATCCTGAACAATACTAAGGAAGGGGCAGTGTTACGACAGTGGAAGTCACGCGATGCTGGGAGCATGCGTGCTGGAGTTTCTTGAAGGATCGTGACTTAGTAGGCAACCTCACGAACGTCCCAGCGTTTGCTAGACACCCTTCTTTTTAGTATATAAACCGT